CSRAAAAMCMMCMAAAAAAACCCCCMAAAAMMAAAMCSRAAAAAAAAACCTCAAACCCAAAAAACCCAAAAAAAACCAAGGAATTTTAGGCACAAATGCATTGTCCCACAGTGTGGAAAAAGATTGCCATTCAGTCTCGGAATTCCAAGTTGGACATTCTGCTTGATATGTTCAAAGAGAGTCATCCCTCCAAGAGTTGCACTTTTTTGTTTCGTTTTTTTCTCGTTGGGTTCCGTGGGTTTTTTGTGGTTTTTTTTCCCTCGGGAATGCTGGAATCTCTTGCGTCTGGGATTCAGAACTGCTCAGACTTGTCTTATCTTACAAAACAAAGGGGTTTCGCAAGGAGAAGTGTTTCTGTGGGATTTAAGAGAATACAGCGGATAAGGAAGTGGTCTCTCGCTTTTCCGGGCAGGAACACGGCGACTTGGACCTGTGGGAGAAGGGAAAGGGCCCATCAGAAGGGGGAGGCAGGGGTTTGGTCCACCTTCTTCCCAGGAAACCGCCCTGGGAATCAAGGGCCCCAAAAGTCCCTTGAGAAGTGTCAGAGCATCCTGAATATCAAACCTGATATCAATCCCAAATATCTGTTACTATCCATCCCTAATCCCAGCCCTATTATCCAACTCTAATTTCCAGCCCTAATATCCAACAGTAATACCCATCCCTAATTCCAGTCCTAACATCCAACCCTAATATCCACCCCTGATATCCAATCCTGATCTCAAACCCCGATATCCAACCCCAATATCCAAACTCAATATCCATCCCTAAAATCCAAACCCAACATCCAACAGCAATATTCATACCTAAATCCAGCCCTACTATCCAACCCAAATATTCATTACTATCCATCCCTAATTTCCAACCCTAATATTCAACCTTAATATGCATCCCTAATATCCATCCCTAATATCCAATCCTTATATCCAACCCTGCTATGCATCCCTAATATCCAAGCCCAGTATCCATAAAAATATCCAACCCTGCCATCCAGTCCTAACATCCAACCCAAATATCCAGCATTAATATCCATACCTAATATCCATCCAGTCCTAATATCCAACCCTAATTTCCAGCCCTGATATCCAACATCATTATCCATCCCTAATATCCAACCTAAATACCCATCCCTAATATCCAACCTAAATACCTATCCCTAATATCCATCCCTAACAGCCAATCCTATTATCCAACTCCAATATCCAACAGTACTATCCATCCCTAATTTCCAACCCTAATATCCAGCCCTGATATCCAACTCCAATATCCATCCCTAATATCCATTCCCAACATCCAACAGTAATATCCATCCCTAATTCCAACCCTAACATCCATCCCCCATATCCAACCTCACCCTCTCCTGACCCACTTCCCACCATTCCCTCGGGTGCCCAGCGATGAGACCCACGGAAACATCCTGGAGCTGCACCAGGGTAGGGTCAGGTTGGAATTTAGGGAAAAGATCTTCATCCAGAGGGTTGCTGGGCACTGGAATCCCCATTCCCAGGGAATCCAGGAGCATTTGGACACAGTGGGATTTTGAGGTTGTCCAGGGGTCAGGAGTTGGACTGGACGATCCTTGTGGTCACCTTCAACTCAGGACATTTATTTCTATGATTCCATGATCCCTCCCCACAAGGAACACGTGGGAATGGTCCATCCTGGAAGTGACTGATCCCAATCCTACCTTTTTACATCTGTCCCATGTGATTGGAGGCATCTCCCATCCCAGGGTGGGGTCCTGCCAGGGACAGCGGGGGCGGATCCGAGGAGACCTTCTCTTCTTCCCTTCTTTTCAGGCACGCAGCCTTTGGATTCAGATTCCGTTCTGTGAGGGAAAGGAGACGTCCAACATCCCCATTTTTAGGTCATGGAACTCCAACATCCCTATTTTCACCTCATGGAGCTCCAATATCCCAATTTCCAGCTCACAGAACTCAAACGTCCTTATTTTCCCATCATGGAACTCAAACATCCCTATTTTCACCTCGTGGAACTCCAACATCCCTATTTTCCCATCATGGAACTCCAACATCCCAATTTCCACCTCGGGGAGCTCAAACATCCCTATTGTCTCATCATGGCACTCAACCACCCCTATTCTCAGCCCCTTGAGGTTGGAAAAGCCCCTGAGACCACAGAGTCCCACCACTCCCAAAGTTCTCCACCGACGGTGCTCCACCCCCGTGTTCCCGGGCGCCGCCCGCGGGACTGACCTCGGACCTGCTGCTCCAGGCTGAGGATGACGGCCACGGCCTGGTGGAGGATGAGGAGCTTGGTCTGGGGCTTGTCACTCTTGAGGTGGAGCTGCACCATGCGGCCCAGCTCCTTGAAGGCCTCGTTGATGTCGCGCACGCGCAGCCGCTCCCGCGCGTTGTTGGCCATGCGCCGCTCCTTCTCCCGCTCCGCCTTCTGCTCCGGGGTCAGGTCCTCGTCGTCGTTATTGCTGCGGGACGGAAGGCACACGGCATTTTCGAACGGCGGGCAATCGGCCAGAAGCTCCACAGTCAAGAACTCCCGAGCCGCTCGTTGTTCCAACCAAAGCTGGGCCGGGGATTTGAGGAGGAAGGGTTTGGTGTGGACGCTTTGCAAGGTGAGAATTCTGAGCTGTTTATCCAAAGCGTTTTGTTGCGATAGGGAATTGCTTAGGTTGGAAAAGGCCTCTGAGGCCATGGGTTCCAACACCAGCCCATGCCCCAAGTGCCACATCCACACGGCTTAAAATCCCTCCAGGAATGGGGATTCCACCCCTGCCCCGGGCAGCCTCTCGCAGGGCTTTAATCCCAAAGTTTGGGATTTGGGAGAACCCTTTGCCACTGAGAGTGCTTGGAGGTACCAAAGGTTTCTGGGTTTAAATCGTGGAATCTTGGAATGGTTTGGGTTGGGAGGGAGCTTAAAGCTCATCCTATTCTGCCATCATGGGCAGGGACACTTCCACTATCCCAGGTTGCTCCAAGCCCCATCCAACCTGGCCTTGGACAGGCCAGGGATTGGGCAGCCCCAGCCAATGATAAAATCCAGCTCTAAACTTCCCAAAAATCCGTTCAGAATTTACTAAGGCTCCAAACCCTCGGAATTTACAGCAATCAAGGACTGGGAATGACAAATAATACATAAAAGCAAAGCAAATCCAACCGTATTCCAATTTGGAAGCGTGGGATGAGAGGGCTAAGAGCCTAATCGATCGATTTTGGCCTAACATCATTTCTCATTGCGCAAATTTGGGAATTGTTGGAATGGGAGGCTGTCCTGGAGCGCAGGTCCCCCAAAAGTGGCGGGTCCTGCCGGGCCAGGCGCTCCGCGATTCCGCCTGTTCCGTTCACTTCATCGAAATCCACGCAGGAATTAAATGAAGCGACACTGTTTCTCCCGTTACCTAGATCTTGACCTAGTAATGGATTTGATATCCTTCTTGTCATCCTCCAGTTTCTTGTCCTCCGAAGACTTGGTGTCCTGGAGGTTCTCGTCGCCCTCGTCGTCGGATTTGATCTCGGAGCTGCCCGACGAGACGCTCTGGCCTTGCAGTCCTGTCGGGATTCCTGCAGGAAAATGGGGAGGGCGGGTCAGGAAGGGCACCCGAGTGGTGGGATGGGTTGGGTCGGAAGGGATTTTATGGATCAGCTCATTCCAAAGCCCTGCCATGGGAAGGGACACCTCCCACTAGCCCAGGTTATTCCAGCCTGGTTGGTTTGGCTTGGAAGGGATTTTAGGGATCCTCTCATTCCAACCCCTCTTCCATGGGCACCTCCCACAGGTTGCTCCAAGCCCTGTCCAACCTGGCCTTGGACACTTCCAGGGATAACAGAATCATGGAATGGTTTGGGATGGAAGGGATTTTAAGGATCACCTCATTCCAACACTTCTTCCATGGGCTGGAACCTTCCACTAGCCCAGGTTGCTCCAACCTGGCCCTGAACACTTCCTGGGATCATAGAATCATGGAAAGGTTTGGGATGAAGGGATTTTATGGATCAGCTCGTTCCAAACCCCTGCCATGGGCAGGGACATTTCCCACTAGCCCAGGCTGCTCCAACCTGGCCAGTTTGGCTTGGAAAGGATTTAAGGATCACCTCATTCCAACCCTTCTTCCATGGGCTGGGACACCGTCCACTGGACCAGGTTGCTCCAAGCCCTGGCCTAGGTTTTATCCATCCCAGATCATGGAATGGTTTGTGTTGGAAGGGATTTTAAGGACCATCTCATTCCAACCCCTCTTCCATGAGCACCTTCTGCACGACCAGGTTGCTCCAAGCCCTTACCCATCCCAGCTCATTCCCAGCTCATTCCAAGAGCAACCACCACCCCCCTAGCCAGCTCAGGGATCGCAGGTGGATTTTGCTCCAAGCCAACCCCCCAGTTCCTGGATCCTGGACAACCACAAGGCCGAGCTCACTGAAGAGTCCCGCCAGAGCACAATTCCAACAGGGATGCGGGAATGTCCACTCACCCCTGTAGGGATCCTGGGGCGGGTTCAGGTCCGGGGATGTGGCCGACTGGACGGGAAGCTGCGGGACGGGCACCTGGTTGGGCACGAGCGAGTGGCTCCCGCGGAGGCTCACCCCGTCCTCCCGGTGCGCTCCCACCTGCAGGACATGGGCAGCCCTCAGGACACCTCTGGAATTCCGCCCGCGGGCTCAGGAAAACCCCTGAGACTCTCAATGCTCCTCGCCCACCAAACGGGCGTAGAATTCCGCCCGGGATTTGAGGAGGAAAGACTTGGTGCAGAGGTTTTGCAAGGAGGGAATTCTGAGCTGTTTATCCAAAAGCTTTTTGTTGGAATAGGGAATTGTTTAGGTTGGGAAAGGCCTCTAAGGCCATGTCCTCAAGTGCCACATCCACATGGATTTGAAATCCCTCCAGGAATGGGGATTCCACCCCTGCCCTGGGCAGCCTCTTCCAGGGCTTCAATCCCAAAGTTTGGAATTTGGGAGAACCCTTCTCTGCCATTGAGGCTTGGAGGTACCAAAGGCACTGGGTTTAAGTCATGGAATCCTGGAATGGTTTGGGTTGGAAGAGACTTTAAGGATCATCCCATTCCACCCCCTGCCATGGGCAGGGACACTTTCACTATCCCAGGTTGCTCCAAGCCCTGTCCAACTCGGCCTTGGATATTCCAGGGATGGGGCAGCCATAACCAATGATAAAATCCAGCTCTCAACTTCCCTAAAAGGGAAATCTCAGGAAGCCCAAGCCCCCAGATCCCTCGGGATGAGCCCCGGCCCTGGGATGCTCCTCACGGAGGGCACAGATGGTCCGTGGCCGTGACAGACACTTGGGCAGGTAAAATGTCATTCCCATTCCCAAGGTGCCTCCCGGATTCCTTCCCATCTGTCCCCTATCCAGCACAGCTGACAATTATCTCCAGGCCCATCTGTTTAATTGGGGGCTTCACAATTCCTCCCTGGAGCCAGGAAATCCGTCGGGAATCGCGAGTTGGCAGCGCACTCGGAATGGTGGCTCAGCCTCCTGACAGCCCCCTATGTTCCCTGTGTCGCTGCATTCCCGACATCAGGAGACACATCCACAGGGATTTATTAACCACCCAATCCCAAATCCAAAGGGATACCTCCCTGCCAGCTCAGGGTTCCACCTTCCCTAAGGAAAAGGGGTGATGGAGGCAAGGAAGGAACGACCAAGAGGAATTAGCGGGGACAGGAGGAATTGGAATCCAGGAGGAATTGGGGGGGGGGACAGGAAAAACTGGGATTTGGGCCTCCAGAATGAGGAGAAATTGGGGTCCAGGAGATATTGGGATCCAGGCTCTCAAAACCAGGAGGAATTGGAATCCAGGCCCCAGGACCAGGAGGATTTGGGGTCCAAGAGGAATTGGGATCCAGGAGGAATTGTTGGGGACAGGAGGAATTGGGATCCAGGCCCCCAAGACCAGGAGGAAATGGGATCCAGGAGGAATGGAAATCCAGGAGGAACGGGGGTCACTGCCACTACATTTCCACCAGGAAGCTGCTCCCTCATCCCAGACTCATCTGGATTGGGAAGGACCCCAAGCCCATCCCCTTCCACCCCCAAACTTCCCAATGCCGGGACCACCACAGCAACATTCCTTGTCCTTTATCCCACAGGATAAATCCAGCAGGGAATTGAAAGGGTGCTGTGTGTTAACCCAGGGCTGAGATAGGCCCGATTCCAAAGCCAAGCCCAGCTAAACCTGGCTTAACCCCCCCAGCAAATCCATCCCATCCCGTTGGATGTGTGTATTCCAAATGAGTCCATTCCCCGGCCCTTTCATGTGCCCGCCATCCCATAATAGTTGCCAGATGAGTGCTGGCCGGGCTATAAATAAGATCAAAAGAGAAGGAAAGGATTTAATCAGCACCAAAAAAAACACCCGGAGAGGGGAATGAAAGCAGGGAAAAGGCAAAGTTCAGAAGCTTTTTTCCACAGGAAACTTTGGTTCCAACAGAAAACTCCCTTTTTCTCCAAAAAAAAACACCCCAAACCTTTTTTGCCACAAAAGTCCTTTTTTTTTCGCAACAGAAAACTCCCTTTTTTTCCTATAGAAAAATCCCTTTGTATCTACAGAAAATTCCACTGGGATGCTCCCATTCACATGGAGCAGCTCTTACTGGGCTGCTCCTACCCCACTGGAATTCTCTTACTCCAGCTGGATTCTCCTGTCCCAGTGGGATGTTCCTATTCCACTGGGATGCTCCCATTCCCATGGAGCAGCTCTTACTGGGCTGCTCCTGCCCCACTCGGATTCTCCCATTCTCATGGAGCAGCTCTCACTGGGATACTCCTGTCCCACTGGGATACACGCACCCCACAGGAATTCTCCTGTCCCACTGGGATGCTCCCAATTCTATGAAGAAGCTCTTGCTGAGATCCTCCTGCCTCACCAGGATTCTCCTGTCCCACTGGGATATTCCCATTCCCATGAAGCAGCTCTTATCGGGATGCTCCTGTCCCACTGGGATTCTCCTGCCCCAGTGGGATGCTCCTGTCCCAATGGGATGTTCCTGTCCCACCTGGATGCTCCCATCCCAATGAAGCAGTTGTTACTGGGATTCTCCTGCCCCATCGGGATGCTCCTGACCCGCTGCCATGGGGCAGATCCCACTAGGATTCTCCTGCCATGGGGCAGCTCCCACTGTGATACTCCTGTCCCACTGAGCTGCTCCTGTCCCACTGGGATGCTCCCATTCCCGTGGAACAGCTCTTGCTGGAATTCTCCTGCCCCACTGTGATGCTCCTGCCCCACTGGGATTCGCCTGTGCCACTGGGATGTTCCTGTCCCACTTGGATGTTCCCATTGCCATGGAGCAGCTCCCACTGGGACACTCCTGCCCCAACGGGATGTTCCTGTCCCACTGGGATTCTCTCATTCCCATGAGGCAGCTTCCACTGGGATCATCCTACACCAGTCGGATCCTCCCATCCCAATGGGATACTCCCGCCCCCCTGGGCCGCTCCCATTTCCCCGGAGCCACTCCCGCCCCACCGGGCTGCTCCTCTCCCACCGGGACGCTCCCGCCGGCCCCACGCGCCGTGCCCGCGGCCCACCCGGCCGTGCCCGCTCACCATGATGGAGTGGCGGTTTGCCGAGAGCAGCCCGGTGCCGTAGCCGGCGCCCAGCCCGGCCATGGCGCCGTTGTGGGCGCCCAGCAGCCCGTGCATGTCCCCGTGGGCCCCGGCCATGGGCGCCGCTCCCACCGCGTGGTTCCGCAGCACATGGATGGCGTCGTCCAGCCGCTCCAGCCGGTCCTCGATCCGGCTCTGCTGCGGGGCAGGAAAAGCGGGAATGGCGTGAGGAGCCCGCCCCAGAATACGGCCAGGCCTCCCTGCTCAGCCCCTTGTGCTTCCACCTTATTATCCTTGGATTTGCTAGGTTTTCCTTGGATTTTTTTTCTCTTAAGGAACGGGTTTGCTTCCCTAGGGAATGCCACACCCTAGGGAAGGTTGAACCCCGGGGAGTGTTGAGCCCTAAGGAATGTTAACGAGTCCAGCTTTGATTTTCATGGGCAAAACAGGTTCAATGATTCCTCATGAACATGAATCAGGCCAGGACAGCATTCGCCCTCCAGGTCTCAGCAGAGCTGGAGTGAGAGCGAGGTAAAAGAAGGATTCAAAAACTGAAAATTCCAAAGGAAAATCAAAAAGAAAAGCAGGAGAAGGAAAGAAACAAAGAGGTTTCGCTGCCATTTTCCTCCCCGCTCAAATAATCCCAGGATCACACACGGAGAGGAGGAGGAACTACCAGGTCCCGCAGCCACAGGGGTTTAATCCCTACAGGTCGGAGCTCCCAAGGGATGGGGAACCTCAACAGGACATTTCCCGAGTCCCCAGGGGCCAAAGAATCTCAACAGAACACTTTCCAAGTGCTGGAGAATCTGGAACCTCACCAGGACACTTCCCAAGTCTCCAGGTGCTGGAGAACCTCAACAGCACAGTCCTGAAGTTCCCAGGGGCTAAGGAACCTCAGCAGGACACTTCCCAAGCGCTGGAGAACCTGGAACCTCAATAGGACACTTTCTAAGTTCTGGAGAACCTGGAACTTCACCAGGACAGTCCCCAAGTCTCCAGGTGCTGGAGAATCCCAACGGGACAATCTCAAGAGCTGTGGAACCTCCCCAGGACCCTGAGCTGCCAAGGGAACCAGGCAGAGCTGCTGGAGCTCCTCAGCAAAGCCCCCAGCCATCCCCTGCTCTCCAGAACCTCCACAGGAAAGCCTGGAAACACTGGCTTCCATCAGCACAAGGATTTCTGGACTGGGGTGGAAAACCAGCCCATCCTAATTCCTGACTCTGGCAAATTTCCCAATACTTCCAACAGAGACCATCCCTTCCCTCGGTCTGTGGGGACAGGACCAGGACCATCATCTCCATCACTGCACAGAGACCCCTCACCATCACTTCCATCACTCTGCAGGGAGAGGACCAGGACCACCATCTCCCTCACTCCAGGAGACCCCTGACCATCATATCCCTCATTCCAGGGAACTCCTGACCATCATCTCCCTCATTCCATGAGGAGAAGACCCCTGACTATCACCTTCCTCGTTCCCCATGGAGAGAATCCTCACCGTCATCTCTCTCACTCCATAGGGACCCCAGATCATCATCTCTGTCATTCCACGAGGAGAAAATCCCTCACCATCACCTCCCTCATTCCATGGGGATCCCTCACTCCATGGGGAGAGGACCATGACCATCACCCCCATCACTCCAGGACCCCTGACCATTATCTCCCTCATTCCATGGGGATCTCTGACCATCATCTCCCTCATTCCATGAGGATCCTTAACCATCCTCTCCCTCACCCCACAGGACTCACGGATGCACCATCCTGAGTCCACCACATCTTCCTACTCCCATCCATCCACCCATCCATCCATTCCCCCCATCTCCCTCCTCACCCTCTTTCCTGCTCCTCACCCCCTTTCCAGTAGATCCCAACACCCCCTTTCCCTCTCGGGAGGGCCTCCAACCCTCCCCGCCCCGGCTCCACCACGCGACTTCCATAGGGATGAGACTTCCGGGGCCGCTCCGGGCGCGCAAAACCTGCATGGGAGGAAGCGGCGGATGGAGCATGACATCACTGAACGCAAGGAATTCCCGCAGGAAGGAGGTCACCGGTTGGAACATACCAGGGAGTGTAAGGGACCTTCATAATTGGGAGATGATGCCGCTTGACCTCCATTCCTAGACCAAACAGCTGTTCCTGCTAATAAGTAAAATCGGAGTTACCGTTGGAACTCGGCGAGCGCAACGTTCCCGACTTTTCTGGGACGCTTTTTCCGAGGCGTGGGAATGGCCTATGCCGAGCCGGAGCTTCCCAAGGCGCTCCTCTGCGGGAGCCTCGGCGGAACTCCTGCGCTTGGAGCTCAAACTCGGCCTCACGGCGCTGGGAGGAAAAGGGATTCCTGCTCTCCAGGAGTTTGCCAAGGAAACAATTCCAGCTCTTCCTTCAATCCACTTCTATTCCCTGATTTTCTATACTGGTTTGACCCTGGGTTATCCCTATTTCCCACTGGGAAGCAGCACAGCCCAAATTATCAGGGAATTCTCCCTCTGGCTCAGCCCCTTCCATAGGGAAAGGAAGGAGACACACAGTCCCTTCTAAATTTTGGGGTAATTCCAGGGAAAATAAGGGTGGTAAGTTGTTTTTTGGGGTGTGGAACCCCCCAAGCCAGCTCAGGTGGTCCCTCTGTTGCCTCCATAGGTTTCATCCCGATTTTGCAGGATGAAGGTGGGTGTGGTGCCCTTCTGGACCTGCCCTGACCATCCCTCCTTCCCAAAGGGTCTCATCCCCGTAGGAATGTCTGGGAAGTGGGACAACACCTGAGAGGATCAGGAGCTCCCCATGGAGAGCAAGGGATGATCCCACTTTTCCCTGCCCTACAGGGACACGGTGGCCTCAGCTCCGGCTCCGGATTCCCGGTGAGTTAATCGGTATCCAAGGGATCTTGGATTACACCTGGGCTCCAAGTGGGATCTCCAGGGAGGTAGGATGTGCTGCAGAGGAGGAGCCAGCTGGAAAAGGGTCACGGATTAAAAACTGGGAATGACAGTCCGAGGACTATTTCCATCTCCTGATGCTCATGAGAACAACCCCAGGCCTCGGGATTTGGGGAAAGGATGCAAATATTCCAATAAAGTCCAGGATCACAAAATCATGGAATGGACTGGGTTGGAAGGGACCTCTAAAGGTCATTCAGTCCAACCCTGAGTCACCTCCCACTATCCCACATTGCTCCAAGTCTTGTCCAGCCTGGCCCTGGAGAAATCCAGGGATGGAGCAGCTCCTCTGGACAACCTGTGTCAGTGTTTTACCTCCCTGATCCTAAAAAAACCTTCCTAAAATCCAACTGCCCAGACTTAGCTCCAAACCATCGCCCCGCTGTTCCTGGGGGATGTCCCTGAGGTGCAGGAAGCTCCACAGGGATAACCTGGGATATTCTGGGAGACACATCCACTGGGAGCTGCAACAACCTTCTCTCTGCACCGAAGGCAGGACACCGAGGCGGGACACCCCGGTCTGAGCTCGGGTAGGGATCTCTTCCCAAAAAAAACCCACCTTAGGAGGACCCGTTCCGTAAAATAGAATCATAACAATACCTGAGAGAGAAGGGGGAGAACCAACAGGAGTTGAAGGATTTGATGAAAAGCTGTTGTTGGTGTGATCTGGAGAATAGATCTTTAAAAGATGATACACAATTAATCTAAAGCCGTCACAACCCGATCCAGACAAAAAAAAAGCTTGGAATTCTTATGCATTCCATTCATTTCAATGAAAGCAGGACAGGCTGGAAAATTCCTTCCGATCCAGTCAATTAATTCCAGGAGAGTTGAAAGCCTCTCGGCTGTGCCAGTCAGCTCTTTGATGCACAGGAGAGGAGGAAGCTGGACACCGAGTCCCTCGGGAAGGGACTCCAGGGATTGGGATTTCAGGGATCGGCTCTGACACCATTTTATTGTCTCGACTTCATTTTATGAACGAGTGTCATGAGAACTCAAAGGAACCCACTGTGCCCAGAAAATAATAGGGATGGTCCTGGTTAAAGGGCAGCCAGTGCCACTGGGATAGCGGCAACGGGGCAGGAATATCCCAGTGGGAGCTGGGAAGTGCTGCGTCCAGTTATCCCAGAAAAACATGGGAACTGCTGCCTTTAACAGCCACCACATGAACTGGAGAGTTGGAGCTGCCATAGAACAGAGAGAACCTCCAGGGATTTCCAAAGGAATCCTGTTGGAGGGTGGTCTGGGAGTGCAGGAGTTGTTCCTGCTGCTGGGTTCCCTCTCCCGTGGAAAAGTGGGATGGACTTGGCACACCTCAAGCCTTCCCCTCTTTCCACTCCTGTCCTACCCTAAAATTCCCTCTAAAGCTTTCCCAACACCCCCTTTCCCTGATTATCCCCTATTCCAGCCAGCACGGACTCCAGGGGGGCGATCTGCTGCTCATCTCCAGCAACTCCAGCTGGAGAACTGGGACTCAAATTCCCTTCCCAAGGGGTCAACATGGGAATTCCAAAGTAAATGTTTCCTTACAGAGGCGAGTGCTTTCCCCAGGGCATCACCAGTCTGCGAACTTCCCGCTGCCCCACTTCCTCTGTTGGCTGCAAGGCAAAAAATTCCATGTAAAACCAGCCAGGGGAACATCTGAAAATTCCTACTCCTGCTCCACCTTCAGGAATTCATTTATTTAATTAATTTGTTATTTAATTGCTTTTAATTAGAGAAGAGTCACCTTTAATTTAATTCAGCCTCACTTGACTCTATTAGAGATTTTTTTTCCCAGTCTTATGGAATGGCTTGGGTTGGAAAGGGACCACAGGGATCATCATTCCAACCGCTAATGGGCTGGGAAAGCTTCCATGAGACCAGGTTGCTCCAACCTGGCCTTGGACACTTTCAGGGATTGGGAAAGAGCCCCAAGAAGGGAGCAGAGACCTGGTAAGTCCCCCAAGGAGGAAAGGATGGCAGAGGGTGGTTCCTTCAGGGCAGGAACTCAAAAACAGGGATATTCCAGCCTGGAAAAGCCAAGCCAGGAGGTAGCAAGGCACCGGGAAGATCCTCCACATTGGGAAGCTCACGGCTCATCCCGTTCCATGGGCAGGGACACCTTCCACCAGCCTAACTCCAAGCCCTGGCACAATTCCAGGGACCAGGAATCCACAACCCCTGGGAGAACTCAGCCTCTGAGCCTGGTTTAGTTCCTCCTTTGTTCCCAGATCCTAAAAAAACCCCCACGTCCATCTGTTGCTGGTCGACCCCACCCTCCATTCCTCCAGCATTAGTGCCGCTCCGCCATCCCACACGGAATCACGTGTGTAATCCGAACCATGTGTCCCCATTTCCCCGTCACTTCATCACGGAATCGCTCCCGGAGAGACCAAACAGGGGGTTCTCATTTCCCGTCTTTAACCATTCCCGGGCTGTGCCAGCGGTGACTCCCAGCGCTGCTCCCGGGGCTCACCCAGGATGGAGTCGGTGCCGTTGGCCGGGGGGGTGCAGGACGAGGCGCTGTAGTGGTTGGTCCCGCTCCGGTGGAACGTGGACATCGGAGGAAGACTGGAGTTGATGTCGGCTGAGGAGTGGGATGGGTAGCTCTGTGCCAAGAAAAACAGGGAATGCTGGGATTACAAAGAGGGCGGGATGCTGCTCGTGGTGTCCTGAGGGTGGTTGGAAGGGATTTTTAGGATCATCCGGTCCCACAGGCAGGGACACCTTCCATAGCCCAGGTTATTCCAACCTGGACACTCCCAGGGATGGGGCAGCCACAGCTTCTCTGGGAATTCCAGTCCAGCCCCTCCCCACCCTCCCAGCCAGGAATTCCTTCCCAATATCCCATCTAACCCAGTGGGAAGCCATTCCCTATGTCCTGTCCTTCCAGGTCCTCATCCCAAGTCCCTCTCCAGCTCTCCTGGAGCCCCTTTAGGCCCTGGAAGGGGCTCTGAGGTTTCCCTAGAGCCTTTTCTTCTCCAGGTGGATATTCCCAGCTCTCCCAGCCTGGCTCCAGGGCAGAGGGGCTCCAGCCCTCGGAGCCTCTCCGTGGCCTCCTCTGGACCTGCTCCAACACCTCCAGGTTGGAGATCCCAGCCCTGGAAGTGTCCCAGCACTAAAATGGGTTGGGTTGAAAGGGATTTTAAGGATCCTCCAATCCCACCCCTTGTCGTGGGTTGCTCCAACCTCGGGCACTTGCAGGGCCGGAGCAGCCATGGATTCTCTGGGAAGCCCCCATCCCATCCCGCTGTCCCTTCCCCGGGATCCTCACCAAGCGGTCGTGCGGGTGGAGGCTGCAGTAGCTGCTGGATTGGGGAATGTGGGAAGAGTTGCCCAGCATTCCCCCGTAGCCAGGCTGGTTCATCCCGCTGGAGGAGCTCCAGGGGTCGCTGCTGTGGTGGCCATCTGCAAGACAGGAATCAGGGAATCAGGGAGTCGTGGAGCGCTTTGGCTCGGAAGGCACATCCCACACCGTCTAATCCACGGGCAGAGACACCTCCCACCATCCCAGGTTGCTCCCAGCCCATCCAGCCTGGCCTCGGACACTTCCAAGGGTAAATCTTTGATATATCGTTAGAATCCTGGTAATCTCCAGCTCTGGAATTCCAGAGGAGCTTCAGAGCTCTTGGAGTGATAATAAATGAAAAGGATTAGGAAAAAATTCCTTCACAGAAAGGGTGCTCAAGCCCTGGAATAGTCAGTAGTGGGTTTCCATCCCTGGATTTTATGATGTTAATCCTTAAAAAGTGGATAATTTTGCCCTCAATGTGGCAAAAAACGAGCAGTCGAATTTTACGTGGATCTTTCCCAACTCTGGGAATGTTATCAATTAATTTATCCCAAATTCCTTTGCATTTCCACGTAATCATGACAACCTGGAAGCAGCAAGACCTGGAAAAATTCGGGATTCAGCCTCATTTTAACCCCATAGCTCTAATTCCACGTGCAGGGAAACAGGGATATGGAGACAGGGTTTTTAGGGAAACAATCCCAAAATGGCTCAGCTACCGACAAATTAAATATAAACCTGGAGAAGAAAAGCTGGAAAATCCGTTTCCTTCCTACCTTGCATGAAGAAGGAGCTGGGAAAAGTGCTGGCTGCTGGTTTGGAGGAGGGATAACCCGGAGAATCCCTGTTGTAGTCGGCAGTACTGGCTGAGGGAGCATAAACCTGGGGAAAAAAAAAAGGCTCGTTTAGCCCTCAAAATCGAGTTTTCTGGCGAAATCCCTTCCCAATCCCCCCAGAATGCAAAACCCGGGTGACTGGAAAGTCAATTCCCAGCTTCAAAAGCAGCTCTGGGCTGACATTTTCCAGCTTGGAGCGGGAATATTTGTCCAAGTCTGGGTTCTGTAAATCCAATTAGGCAGCAGATGGACATATGTTCCTCCTCGAGCCTCCCGGAGCTTAAAATAAACAGGAACTGGGAACAATGAGGAGTTCTTTTGGGATGAAAGCATGTGGCCTTTGCCCACCTTGGCACACAACTGAAACTGCTCCAAAATTCCCGGCTTTCAGCTGGACACGTTAATTTTCCGACTGCGCCGGTACTGGCAATTATGGTGTTATGCCGGGATATGAAATTCCCAAGGATCCAGCCTGAAAGGAGTCTGAAAAAGCTGGAGCAGCATGAGACCACCAACACAGCATGGGGACACTCCAGGGGGGAAAACTCCGCCTCTCCCCGGAATGACTCAAGTAATCCCTACAAAAAGCCGGGAGCGGGTGCCAAACACTCCTCACTCCCAGTTTTCCCTAAGTCACCAGAGCCCGGCCACTGGAATTCTCCCTCTGAGCTCCAGAGGGAATTTGAAGGCCGGATCCCCCGAGCCAGGCCGGCTGGATGCAGGGAAGGTGTTGTGCAGGGTGGGATGGATTCCTGCCACTCCCGCTCTCCAGATGGTCGGGAAGGCTGAATCCCTGTCATCTCCTGGATGAAAATGGATCCCTTCCTGCCTCCATTTTGAAGCGGCAGCAGCTCCCAGGAGTTGGCACCACGCCCGCTCCCGGCATTCGCAGAGAATAGGGAAGAGAAATCCAGGGAAGCGCAGCTGGAAGAGACCCCAGGGCTGAAGGGGCTCCTCTCCACAGAACCCCCCCAAAACCAGGGAGAGTAGGGTCGGGGGGGTGGGATGCGGAGGGACATCCCACTGGAGTTCCTGGAGGCGCGTTCCGGGCAGCACATCCAGAGGGTTGGGAATTTCAGCAGCGGCTCCGTGGTGGGGCCAACGCTCCAAAGGAAAGAAGTGGGAGTGAATCCCAGGAAAGCTGGAGACTTTGGATGGGTAAATCAAGAGGCAACATACTCTGCGCCCACCAGATCCCGGATCATGGAGCGGGAGATTCCGGTTGGGATGAGACACCACCCAAGGCACCAGGATCGCGGGAGAGGAAGTTCCATTCCCATGCCACCATTTCTTGGGATTAAGGGCATGGATGCACTGCACGGAACACCAAATCCTGCTGCCTGCTCAGGATTTGGGAATGAGGCTCCAGGTGCTCTCCTCATCCCAGAGAGGGAGGGTCAGGGATACAGGGAAGAGGCTTTGGAAAAGCCTGGGAGATGGTGGGAGGCACCACAGAATTCCAGGACAGCTGGGGGTGGAAGGGATTTTAAGGATCATCCCATTCCATGGGCAGAGACACCTTCCACAGACCAGGTTATTCCAACCCGGACATGGACACTTCCAGAGATGGAAGTCTTTGGGAATCTGTGCCAGGGCCTCCCCAGCATATCTCCATCCCTGGAATTGTCCCAGGCCAGCTTGCAGCATCCTGGTGGGAGGTGTCCTTTCCCAGTGGAAGCGCTGATCCTCAAAATCCCTTCCAACCCCAACCATTTCATGGTTCTTCATCCATCCATCCATCCATCCATCCATCCCAGCCTCATTCCCAATTTGATGGTAAATCTGGATCTGGGGACATCAATATCCATCTGGAAAACCCGAATTTAGCAACTCCCTGACTCACCCGGGAGGTTTGAGGAGATGGTGAAGAATAATCCCGGAAAAACACACCATTCCGGAGCAAATCCCACCACACTGGAGCCATTTTGGGAGCAAATCCCAAACACCTTTTCTTTAAATTCCTGGGGATGGAGCCTGGGTTTGCTTCCATCTGAGCATCCCGGAGTACTCCTGCTGGATGGACCCCAGTGTCTTGGGGATCCAAAGCTTCCCAAATTAAGGATGAAGAGCCCTGAGAAGTCCTATCAGCTACCAGGTGAACCGGGAGTGGGATATCCATCTCCAGTGGGAATCACCAAGCACCAGGAGATGCCTCTGGGATCCACCCTGGAACAGCTGCGGGTGTTTGGGAACCCAACCCAGTTGGAAAATTAAGAATTATGGAGTCCCAACTCCTGGCCCCATGAGGACAACTCCAAAATTCCACCTGGGAGCGTTGTCCAAAGGCTCCTGGAATGCCGGTGCTGTGAGCACTTCCCTGTTCCAGTGCCTGACCACCTCGTGGGGAACCTTATCCCAAAATCCAGCCTATCCCCTGCCACAGCTCCAGCTGTTCCCTTGGATCCTCCCACCGGTCACCTGCCCTTTGTGCCACAACTTCCTTGGTCATGACAGGCCTCGTGCTTCCCGCTCCGGCCTCCGGAGCCCGGGAATGCTGCACCCACACAGACAAACAAGACAGGGGAAAAACTCCAATAGTAATTAAAAAAATACTCCCTAAATCCCATTTTTCCTCCTTTCCAACCCCTGAGGGACACGCTCCGTGCTGTCCTAGCTCTTCCCCACCCGGCTTGGGACGAAATCCCTCAGTTCAGTGCAAAATTCCCTCATTTCAGTGCGAAATTCCCTCATTTCAGTGAAAATCCCCAAAGTAACCTCCCCCCTCCCCAACCCGCTCCAGGTTTCCAGCGCTTTTCCAACAGCAGGTCCCTTAATTTGGGCCACATGTGTCCGGGGGAGCGGGGGGAGAGGAAGAGGAGCGGGACGCGGGGGCGGCGGGCGCGGATGAAAAGCCAGGGAAGCGCATTCCCGGCGCGGGCTGGAAGGGGCCGGAAGGAAAAGGCACCCACCCACCTCGGCCCGACCTGCGAGGGCCCCAATCCCAACCAGATGTCGGCGCTTCCAGAGCCTTCTCCCGGCACAAACACTCCCAGGGCCAGCAAAGGTAATTGGGAGCAGCTGAGCTCCAGCGCGGAGCAGCACATGGAAAAAAAAAACCCCGGAGCCCGGAGAGGGATGAGATTCCAGGCCCTGCTGAGCACAGTGGGAAAACAAGTGGAGTGGGAAGGAAAGGCACCTGTCCGGCACAGGGGGCAGAGAAGGCTGGGATCAGCACACCCAAAGCACTCCAGAACCCTGGAATTGCCGCTGGAGCCAGTTGTCCGGCACACAGTGAACCCTCCGGGATCACAGGTTTAATCCTGGGATTATCACAAGCATGGAATGCTCTGGGGTGGAAGGAATTGAAGGATCATCCAGTTCTCTGGGCCGGGACACCTTCCACAGCCCAGGTTATTCCAACCTGCCCTTGGACACTTCCAGGGATCCAGGGGCAGCCACAGCTTCTCTGGGAATTGCATCCCGGTCTCTCACCGCCCTCCCAGCCAGGAATTCCTTCCCAATATCCCACCTAACCCATCTGGAAGCCATTCCCTGCGCCCTGTCCCTCCGGGTCCTCATTCCAAGTCCTTCACCAGCATTGGGAATTCCTGGCTGGGAGAGTCGTGAGGGACTGGGATGGAATTCCAAGAGAAGCGGTGGCTGCCCCATCCCTGGAAGTGCCCAGGGCCAGCTTGGAATAACCTGGACTATGGAAGATGTGTGGGCTGGGAATGAGATGATCCTTCCATTTCCCCCATCCCGGGATTCTCCACTCCCCCCCGGAATGCCATCCCAGCACCCCCCGAACATCAGCTGCCTGACTTTTCCTCCCTTCTCCCACCCTCCGGGATCCTCCAAAGCCGCAGATCCTGCTGGCTCAAATGTTTTCCAGATGGGAAGGCCGAGCCCTGCGCTCGGAAACGCCTGGAGTTAAAAAGGGGTCAAGGAAATTAGAGAGGGAAGAAAAAAATTCTGCCCTGATGTCATCCCTGCGCAGCAGGACACGGTTGGAAAAGCAACAGGAACAGCCCAGAGCTGCAGCTTTTCCAGCCACACTTTGATTGCTTCCTGATCCTTCACAGGATCATGGAATGGTTGGGCTTGGAAAGCCCATCTCGTTCTGTAAGGACACCTTCCACTCTCCCAGGTTGCACCAAGCCTTGTCCAGCCTGGATTGATTTCTCCATCCAAGGTCATTCCCAAAGCAGTCCAGGAGCAAAATCACCCCCCAGCCAGCTCAGGTGGATTCTGCTCCAACACATCCCTAATTCTGGGATCCTGGAAAACCAGGAGGCCGAGCTCGCTGAATGGTCCCAGCATGACACTTCCAACAGGGATTAGGGAAGGAAAAGAGAGAGCGAGAGGAATGACAACAGCAAAACACCAAGGAATGGGTGAGGAGATTGGATCCACCCCTGCCAGGGCTGGCCAACCCTTTCCAGGTAGGAATTTTCCCTCATGTCCAACCTAAATACATCCCTGCAGGAATGGGGACTCCATCCCTGCCCTGAGCAGCCTCTTCCAGGCCTGGAAACCCTTTCCAGGCAGGAATTTTCCCTCATGTCCAACCTAAATCCCTGCAGGAATGGGGACTCCATCCCTGCTCTGGGCACCCTTTCCACAGTGTTGGAGTTGGCTGCCCCATCCCTGGGATTGTCCAAGGATAAGGTTTGGAGCAACCTGGTCTGCGGGAGGCGTGGGGTGGAACAAGATGATCCTTCTGGTACCTTCCCATCCAAGGCACTTCCTGATCCCACAATCCCATGAAATGAAGGTCTGATGAGCAGAAAGGATCCCAAACTGGGCTGAACCTTCCCAGAGTAAGATTTTTAGGAAGAGGCGGGTCCTGTTCCAAGCCCAGCACCTCAACCCCACCCCAGGGGATGAATCCCAAACCGGGCCCTCAGCACAAATTCCCTCTGGTCCGGGAAGGGCGGGAACGTGGTTCCGGCACTTCCAGGTGCCGGACACCGAGGGAAGCGACCGTTCGCTTTCTCCGTCAGCGGAGACGTCGGGATCCGTTAATAAATCCATCGGCAAACCCTCCTCTGATCCAGGGAGACAGCCCCAAGTTCCAGGAAAAGAAATTATCCCTAATTACCTGGA